CTCAACTGATGACCCCTCGCTGATTTTGAACTATTCTTTATCGGTGTCTGCAGTGTTCTGGAACCGTTCTAAGAATTTTTTCTTCAAATTTGGCTCCCCCAACTTGGGGTCGCTCCGCCCACAACGTAGGCGTCACGCTTCTCAATCGGTGAACCCTCGGTGATCTAATCCGTTTTTACTGGTGTCTGGGAAGTTCTGGAACGATTTTACCGAATTTTTTGCCTTCCGCCAATTTGGGGTCGCTCCGCCCACAACGGAGGGATCGCGCTTCTCAATCGGTGAACTCTCGGTGGTCTAATCCGTTTTTGCTGGTGTCTGGAAGTTCTGGGACGGTTTTATCGACTTTTTTGCCTTCCCCAACTTGGGGTCGCTCCGCCCACAACATACGCCTCGCGCTTCTCAACTGATGACCCCTCGCTGATTTTGAACTATTCTTTATCGGTGTCTGCAGTGTTCTGGAACCGTTCTAAGAATTTTTTCTTCAATTTGGACTTCCCCCAACTTGGGGTTCGCTCCCGACAACGTAGGGCGTCTAGCGCTTCTCAATCGGTGAACCCTCGGTGATCCTAGATTCCGTTTTACTCAGAGAGTGTCTGCGGAGTTCTGAACGATTTTACCGAATTTTTTGCCTTCGCCATTTGGGTCGCTGCCGCCCCAACGGAGGCCGATCAGCGCTTCTGCAAGTCGGTGAAACCTCGGCGGCGTCTTATCCGTTTTTTGCTGGTGTCTGGAAGTTCTGGGACGGTTTTATCGACTTTTTTGCCTTCCCCAACTTCGGGTCGCTCCGCCCACAACATACGCCTCGCGCTCTCAACGGTGTCTGCAATGTTCTGGAACCGTTCTAGGAATTTTTTCTTCAAATTTGGCTCCCCCAACTTGGGGTCGCTCCGCCCACAACGTAGGCGTCACGCTTCTCAATCGGTGAACCCTCGGTGATCTAATCCGTTTTTGCTGGTGTCTGGGAAGATCTGGAACGGTATTTACTAGATTTTTTTCGCTCTCCAACTTGGGTAGTCCGCCCCACAAGCGGCAGGGATCGCGCGCTTCTCAACTTGATGGACCCCTCGGCTGATTCTTGAACTATTCTTATAAATGGCGTGCTCATGTCTCGAGAAACCCGTTCTAAGAATGGTTTTCTTCAAATTCGCGCCTCCCCCAACTTGGGTGCCGTCCGCCCACCAACGTAGGCGTCCACGCTTCTCAATCGGTGAACCCTCGGTGATCTAATCCGTTTTTACTGGTGTCTGGGAAGTTCTGGAACGATTTTACCGAATTTTTTGCCTTCCGCCAATTTGGGGTCGCTCCGCCCACAACGGAGGGATCGCGCTTCTCAATCGGTGAACTCTCGGTGGTCTAATCCGTTTTTGCTGGTGTCTGGAAGTTCTGGGACGGTTTTATCGACTTTTTTGCCTTCCCCAACTTGGGGTCGCTCCGCCCACAACATATGCCTCGCGCTTCTCAACTGATGACCCCTCGCTGATCTTGAACTATTTTTCCCGGTGTCTGGAGTGTTCTGGAACCGTTCTAAGAATTTTTTCTTCAAATTTGGCTCCCCCAACTTGGGGGTCGCTCCGCCCACAACGTAGGCGTCACGCTTCTCAATCGGTGAACCCTCGGTGATCTAATCCGTTTTTGCTGGTGTCTGGGAAGTTCTGGAACGATTTTACCGAATTTTTTGCCTTCCGCCAATTTGGGGTCGCTCCGCCCACAACGGAGGGATCGCGCTTCTCAATCGGTGAACTCTCGGCGGTCTTATCCGTTTTTGCTGGGTGTCTGGAAGTTCTGGGACGGTTTTATCGACTTTTTTGCCTTCCCCAACTTGGGGTCGCTCCGCCCACAACATACGCCTCGCGCTTACTCACGGTGTCTGCAATGTTCTGGAACCGTTCTAGGAATTTTTTCTTCAAATTTGGCTCCCCCAACTTGGGGTCGCTCCGCCCACAACGTAGGCGTCACGCTTCTCAATCGGTGAACCCTCGGTGATCTAATCCGTTTTTGCTGGTGTCTGGGAAGATCTGGAACGGTATTACTGATTTTTTTCGGCTCCTCCCAACTTGGGGTAGCTCCGCCCACAACGGAGGGATCGCGCTTCTCAACTGATGACCCCTCGCTGATTTTGAACTATTCTTTATCGGTGTCTGCAGTGTTCTGGAACCGTTCTAAGAATTTTTTCTTCAAATTTGGCTCCCCCAACTTGGGGTCGCTCCGCCCACAACGTAGGCGTCACGCTTCTCAATCGGTGAACCCTCGGTGATCTAATCCGTTTTTGCTGGTGTCTGGGAAGTTCTGGAACGGTTTTACCGAATTTTTTGCCTTCCGCCAATTTGGGGTCGCTCCGCCCACAACGGAGGGATCGCGCTTCTCAATCGGTGAACTCTCTCGGTGGTCTAATCCGTTTTTGCTGGTGTCTGGAAGTTCTGGGACGGTTGTTTTGTCGACTTTTTTGCCTTCCCCAACTTGGGGTCGCTCCGCCCACAACATACGCCTCGCGCTTCTCAACTGATGACCCCTCGCTGATTTTGAACTATTCTTTATCGGTGTCTGCAGTGTTCTGGAACCGTTCTAAGAATTTTTTCTTCAAATTTGGCTCCCCCAACTTGGGGTCGCTCCGCCCACAACGTAGGCGTCACGCTTCTCAATCGGTGAACCCTCGGTGATCTAATCCGTTTTTGCTGGTGTCTGGGAAGTTCTGGAACGGTTTTATCGACTTTTTTGCCTTCCCCAACTTGGGGTCGCTCCGCCCACAACGTAGGCGTCGCGCTTCTCAATCGGTGAACCCTCGGTGATCTAATCCGTTTTTGCTGGTGTCTGGGAAGATCTGGAACGGTATTACTGATTTTTTTCGGCTCCCCCCAACTTGGGGTCGCTCCGCCCACAACGTAGGCGTCACGCTTCTCAATCGGTGAACCCTCGGTGATCTAATTCGTTTTTGCTGGTGTCTGGAAGTTCTGGACGGTTTTATCGACTTTTTTGCCTTCCCCAACTTGGGGTCGCTCCGCCCACAACGTAGGCGTCGCGCTTCTCAATCGGTGAACCCTCGGTGATCTAATCCGTTTTTGCTGGTGTCTGGGAAGATCTGGAACGGTATTACTGATTTTTTTTGCCTTCCCCCAACTTGGGGTCGCTCCGCCCACAACGGAGGCGTCGCGCTTCTCAAGCCTGGGCGACTTAAATCTCCGTTTGGCCCTGTGATTCTAGCAGCCTCGCCCGAGCGGTCCCAGCCGACGTCGCCCTGTCGGTGGTTCCCTCAGGTTCAGGGGAATGAGGCCCATAACTGTTACTGTTTTCGGCGAGAAGAAGTTTAACCACGCGTAGCTCGCCAGGCTCTGACGTGGCACCCTCCGCATTGGTTTTTGGAACAGTTCAAAACCGTTCACCCCCACGCCACGATGAGGCTGCGGATAGGATTTGTATGGGAGAGTAAGTCAAAAGGACGCCAATATTTGCTGAATGCTGCTGTATTCTTCTAGGGATGGGTGTATTTCCTAGATACTACCTGCTTTTCCTGTCTGGCCCTTGCTATTGCTCTTTTACTTATTAATGTTATTTTCACTTTTGCTTTAGACTGTTTTTGATCCTTTGTTTCTGCTTGTGTTCTATTAGTGCTTCGGTTTTTTGTTGTGACTTTTCTTTCCCACATATTTCGGTTGCTGCATTAAGTCCCCTCGTCTTTCTTCCTTTCTCTTTGACACTTTCCTTTTTCCTCTGCCGCTAGAGGGTTGTTTAGTAGTAGAGCTCAAGATTACATTTCCTTTCACCTATTTTTCGGCATAGGAGTCAATATGAGGTCTTCCCATTATTCGACTGGCTGAGTTTATTTCCAAGATGCAGTAAAAAGAGTCAGGGCATGGCCATTGATTACCTATATTCAACGTATGGATGATATTTTTGGTTCTCTTGTCCTTATGACTCACCTCCCAAAGGTTTTGCTTTCTAGAAACAATTTGGAATGTTATATGCAAATGCTTCAGAGGTTGAACTGAGAGAGAGAGATCGCGCAAAGTCCCGCTCAGTCCTTGTCGCTTGTGCTGTTCAGCTATGTTTGCTGATCAGTTACTAACTATTTCCCATATTACCATGCATGCTCCTAATTTATGAATCTTTGTCCTGTGGCTATTCTGGCTAATTTATCCAAAAAAGAGGACCCTCCCCAGTGGCGCAGTACCTATTTCCTTCACTTTTTGTTGTCAAACGGATGTTTTTTCTCGCTTTGTTTTGTTTCATTTCGCATTCTCCGTGATATCTTGATGGGGTGCAATTTTGGAGTCCTTACAGATTACCTTACAATTGCGTGCAAAAAAAGGAATCGTCCTGAAGTGAATTCCTGCGGATTGTTTATCCATTCTCTTAATATGATGTCTATGTATGTTGTTTTATACCGATAGTTGAACATCGGCCCCACTTTTTCATAGTTTTCACCTATGCATATAATAAAGCAGACCGATGGGAATGTAACGGACAAATGCAAACGCCGGCACACATAGCGAAAATGCCGCGAGGCCCGCCTCTCCTCCGGCCTCCCCAGCACACTAGAGACGGGAAAAGAAGGAGATCAAGGTCAGAAAGGGTTAATCGGCAAAAATGTGTGGCAAACATGTTGTGGGCGGTGCCAGCCCGAGGTGGGCGGAGACAGACAAAAGGTCTGTAAAACGGTTCCAGAGCACTCTAGGGACCGGAAAAAGTAGATCAAGGTCAGCAAAGCGTCACCTGAAAAATGTGGGGGTGCTAAGTGGTTTGGACGAGTTTTCCGATCCGAGAGAACGGCTGCACAGGCTCGGTGAAGGTGGTAATTATGGCCCCAGAAACAATATGACAGCTGGCGGGCGCCATCCGACCGCCTCCTGCAGAACACTGACAAGCATCCGAAGCGTAGGTGACTCTGAGGGTTCTCCCCGACGCTCCTTCTCTGCGACCGGGCGCGGCTTCTCCATGCGCTTCTTCGTTCAGCGAGCTCAAGTACCCGCGTAGTGCTAAGCCCTCCCCGGAATCTGTAGACCTAGTCAACGCTCTATATCCGATGCTGTCACGATCACACCCTAATGATTTTAATACCTATCACCATGACGTAATAGATTTCTATATTTTATTGCTTTACTCCACTGTTACTGCTCCAAAAACTGGGAAAAGTTTGCGTTGAATTCCTGCCTATAGATGTTACTTGGAGTTCCATCACGAATATGACATCCATTTTAGCACTGGCGCCATTCGGCTCCGATGGGCGCTCATTTGGCGCCGCCATCTGTTCCATTAAAATCGATGCAAACGTGCATAATATGGTTCAGTGATACCCGGATCTCTAAAACGACGTCCATTTTTCGACACTAGCAAAACTTAATAGTCTGCTGAGGCTGTACCTGGAAGGAGGAGTGGTTCCTTTTCCACGAGGCTCCGGCTTAGCAGAGTGCGTATGATTATAGTACCCTACATCGGCGTCCTCGCCAAAAATGAATGTCGTAATCGTGATCAGGATGTCAAATGCCCTCCGTACACAAGCTTTCATCGACCTTGGTGAAGGAGGTGGTCGCATCAAGTAGACGCCAAATGGAGCTAGCTTCAGAAACGAGCGTAATATTCGTAATTAGAATGTCGCATGACCCCGCATACCACTTCTTATAGATTTCCATGAGATAGCTGGTGGCGCCAAATTGGCGCTCACTGGCACTGAATGGCGCTAGCGCTAGGAGTGAATATCACATTCGTGACTAGGGCACTGAATAACCACTGTGGGCGGAACTTCTTCGAGTTTTTGGAGTAATAGTAGTAATATTTGCTACTATAGCCATCCATTTAGCAGTGGTGAGAGGAGCAACGAAGTGCACAGTTTAGCGGAACGCTCGCGTTAGGCTATCTTGCTCTATCATAGACGATCGAGTAGATCGATTTAGCAAGACTTCAGCCAGTAGTGACAACGTTGCTAAATGCGGATACCGACTGATAGCGACCCGGCTGGTGACGGTGACAAAACTGTATAATTGCACTTACAGTAACCCCTCGTCCATTCCGGGCAGTTGGATGTTAGGGCGCGTCGTCAACGGGCGCGCAGCGTCGTGCCAGGAACTATTTACTTTTTTCCAGCAGCCTAATAATGCGTCATTTTTTTCCAACTTTTCACTGTTTTGGCTACTTTTTCCCAGATTAGCAGCTCCTTATCTTCACAAGGTGGAAAAAATGACTAAATTAGCCTGGAAAAGCAAATAGTTCCTGGCACGCGCTGCGGCCCGTTGACGACCGCCCTAATCATCTGCCCGGATGACGAGGTTATCTGTTTTAACAACCAAGCTATTACCTTTTCTTTTGTCAATGAACATATCCCATCTGTACTCCTCGTCAGGTTTCGCACGTATCTGAGCTATTGCCATCTCCAAGAACTTGAGAGGCTCTTCGGGTCGATTGTAAATCAAAAGCCACTCATGAGGACCTGGAATCACTGTTCAGTTGGCATGTTACTCGAGTTGTGTGGACTCAATGCGAGATCACGTGGTACTTCTACATTTTATTTCAGATGAAATTCTTTATCTTCATCCCACCCACTGTATAAGAATGCAATATAGAATGCAGTGCTTATAGGAAATCAAAATAACTTTTTTCCTCTTACGAAGCCTATGCCTCCGTGACTGCGCGATGCAACTCGCACTTTCCTCGGCGATCTGGGCAGCCCTTATCGCGAAAAGTTAAGACCAGAACCGTTGTTCAGACTTCGCGATGGAGCGATTGCGTCGCTTGAGTCGAACGACCGAATCGCCTGACTCAGGCGATCCAATCGCTTGAGTCGTACGACCGCTTGAGCGGTGCAGAAGTGCGTAATAGCAGAATACAAATCCGAAATATGCAGACAAAAAACATGTGATTGTGATTTATGCAGTGAGAGTGATGGTTAAGTATGGGGATGTGGGTTAGTCAAGGCATGTGCCATGGGTCTCATGGATCTTCGTGGTAGGACGCATACGTATGTATCGATTCGTGCTCTTCTCCTCGCAGAGCGGAATCCGGAAGCGGATCAGATTAATAAAAAACGAAGAGAACATGCACATCAATAGACAGTAACCCCTTGCGCAAAAAGATGAAACAATAACTTCGATTTCAAGAAGAAAGCGGAATATGCCGCAATGCGCAGGACACGCCGAAATGCACAAATTCCGCTGCGGAGAAAAGCGATCGATACCTACGTATGCGTCCTCACCGATCAATACCCCCATGCACATCCTTGACTACCCACATCCACATCCTTAACCATCACTCTCCTCATAAATCAACAGTCTGCATATCTTCCGCAGCGATTTGTATTCTAGCTATTATCGCACTTTGCTTGCACCGCTCAAGCGTGGTCGTACGACTCAAGCCGATTTTTTGGGCATCGCCTGGATGTTCAATGGGGCGAATTCGGTCGGTTCCGACTCAAGCGACGCAATCGCTCCATCGCGAAGTCTGAACGCGGTCTTATGTCGACCGCTACAAGGTTCATCTTCAAGGCTGAAATTTCCAGAACGAAATTTGTCGGACCACCATTGCCCTCACGGTGCCTTTCTCCAAAAACTGTGGGGCGCCCGACACGTGTGGTAATTTTTCGAGCTGTCTCGACTGCGGATTGACCCAATTTGTAGTTGAAGAACAATATCGTCCGAAGTTGCTCTTTTGACATGCTTGAAAAACTCTTGAAAAAAGGGGTCACCCAAGCAATGGTGAAACGGCAATTATATCATCAGAGATACGCGCAAAGAATTACATTCATGGATGAATTGTGTACTTGTGGGCGGAACTTCTTCGAGTTTTTGGAGTAATAAGTAGTAATATTTGCTACTATAGCCATCCATTTAGCAGTGGTGAGAGGAGCAACGAAGTGCACAGTTTAGCGGAACGCTCGCGTTAGGCTATCTTGCTCTATCATAGACGATCGAGTAGATCGATTTAGCAAGACTTCAGCCAGTAGTGACAACGTTGCTAAATGCGGATACCGACTGATAGCGACCCGGCTGGTGACGGTGACAAAACTGTATATTGCACTACAGGTACCCTCGTCAGTTGATTAGGGCGGTCGTCAACGGGCCGCAGCGCGTGCCAGGAACTGCTTTTTCCAGGCTAATTTAGTCATTTTTTCCAACTTTTCACTGTTTTGGCTACTTTTTCCCAGATTAGCAGCTCCTTATCTTCACAAGGTGGAAAAAATGACTAAATTAGCCTGGAAAAAGCAAATAGTTCCTGGCACGCGCTGCGGCCCGTTGACGACCGCCCTAATCAACTGCCCGGATGACGAGGTTATCTGTTTTAACAACCAAGCTATTACCTTTTCTTTTGTCAATGAACATATCCCATCTGTACTCCTCGTCAGGTTTCGCACGTATCTGAGCTATTGCCATTTCCAAGAACTTGAGAGGCTCTTCGGGACGATTGTAAATCAAGCCACTCATGAGACCCTGAATCACTGTAGTTGGCCATGTTGACTGAGTTGTGTGACTCAATGCGAGCTCACTGGTGCTTCCACATTTTATTTCAGATGAAATTCTTTATCTTCATCCGACCTACTGTATAAGAATGCAATATAGAATGCAGTGCTTATAGGAAATCAATTTTTTCCCTAGAGGCATGCTCCGTGACTGGATGCACTCGCACTTCTTCCGGCGATCAGGCGCCTTAAATGCCCAAAAGTTAACAGGTGTACACATCCGCCCAGCGCAAATGGGCACGTACTCAACAATTATTACAAATTACCCCAGTTTTGGGGTGAACAAGCCGGATCTTGATCGACTTTTTTCTACGGGGGCGAATTTGGCTTAAAGTTGGGTTCTAGGGGTAATTCGACCTCCTAAACACGAATATCGCATCCGCTCCTCCTGAAACCGCCTGGCGCCCGCGCCACAGGCGCCAGTGATTTGGGGCATTTTGGCGCCGGCGCCCGTAGCGCGGACGCGGAGCGGTTTCAAGCCGGGGGAATGTGATATTCGTGATTAGGAGGTCAAACTACCTCAGGGTACAGTTCAGCGGATTTCGTGATCTAGGGTATTTTTGGCGCGGTGCTGAGGGGCCCGGGGGCGGGGGCGCAGGCGGTTTGGAGGAGCGGATGTGATATTGTGTTCAGCAGGTCGAATTAACCCAGAAACCAACTTTACCAAATCACCCGCTAGAAAAGTCGATCATAATCCGGGCCCGTTTTGGCGAAATTCTGGGTAGCAATAGTTGAATAGTGCCCGCCAAGATGTGACGAAGGAAAGGTGCGTTGTTCCCTACTGTTGACAGCATTCTCTGCCCTGCCCGTTCATTATTCCCGAGCTGCTGACAGCACGACTAAACGAGAATGTAGGCCACAGAGGACTTGTACTAAGCAGAAGATATGTTAGTTTGTCCGGAATATCTCTAGCGTTTTTGGGCTGTTTCACATGTAGCGCACCGTAACTTTTTTATATACTCATAGGATTTAATGTTTGAAATAGCATCCATTCGAATCAGCCGACTTTTGCACCCCCCCCCCCCCCACCCCTATGTTAAAGCAGTCGAGAAATCCATCAAAGTAAAAAACTGGGTGGTCGAAAATTCACGAAATCCACTAAGGCTTTTTTGCCTGGTCCTGATTGATGAAGTATTTTCCAGCAAGGGAGTTCTGAAAATGTTAGAAAAGGTGATAGTCGATTGGCGAAAGGTCTGGAAAACCTATGGCGGTAGTAGACTTATATCCAATTCGTTCGATTTATGGTATGTGATTTGTGGAAGTGCGGGCGAGACGTTGATGCAGAGAATCGGACCCTTCTGTTGGACAAGTGGCTGGGTGGAGCTTGACGCGATTTCAGTACATGTTCGTCGATTTCTCCACAGTATTTTGCTGTGATGGTTTGGCTCGTAACAAAAGTTATAGTGGATACACAAGCCTGTGGACTACCACCTGTGCCATACCTTTTTGTCGTGGTATTCGGCTTCGAAATTGAGCTCAAGGGGTCAGCCGCATCAAATCACTGTCCGAACGTCTCCTGTTATCATACATGATCTCATTTTCATCACACGTGACAATTCGGTCCAAAAGCGGGTCGTTTCTGTTGTGCAAAAGCAGTGAAGAAGAAACCTCGAGACGTGCCAATTTCTGCCGGTCACTCAAATTGTGGGGCACCACTTGTCGAGTTTTTTCACCTTCCCAATGCTTTTCAGACCATCCGCAACAGTGGATTTGCCAACGCCTAGCTTTTCTGCAATCTCTCGAACTGTTTGGGATGGGTCAGCCTCCACAAACGCCTTCAAATCTCGTCGTATTGCTTTAGGTCGACCGCTACAAGGTTATTTTCAGGCTGAAATCTCCAGAAAAAAATTTGTCGAACCATTGTCGCACGGTGCTTTCTCCAACACTATTGGGCCCCCACACCTGGTTAATTTGTCGAGCTGTCTCGACTGCGGATTGACCCAATTGTAGTTGAAGAACAATATCGTCCGAAGTTGCTCTTTCTGACATGCTTGAAACTCTTGAAAAAAGGGTATCAAGCAATGGTGAAACGGCAATTATACCATCAGATAGCGCAAAGAATTCTCTTCAGGATGTACTACTGAGACGCAAGGGAGAATGAGTTTTTAATCAGCAATGAATGTACAAAAATAGTAACACAAAACGCTGAGAACTTTCCGGACAACCTAATATAAGCTGGGATCGTTTGCAGCAACCATATCAACCACAAGACTACTGTACGGTAATCTCGTCCAATCGCACCAATTGCCCGCACTCCACTCGCCCAGGAGCGTTTCACTTGGGCACTGGCAACGGTTTTCTTCCTGTTTCCATACCACAGACTTTTTCGGCATTTTGGCATCCCTTGAGCTCCACTAACAACTTACTCGGTCAGAACCTCGTTGGTTCTTCATATGCTCGTTCACATGAGTGACTTCCCGAGATCAACACCTGAAGGATCATTCACCTTCCAAGGTCTATTATTCGAGCTATTGCTCATGCTTCCTTAAATCAGCAAATTTCCAATTTACCACACAGGAGATCTTCAGTAGACCTTACCATACAAAGGAGCGAAAAGCAGAACATCACTGAAGGTGGCTGCAAAAGCTATCTTGAGCGCTAGCGTGGCGTTCTATTTCTTACACACCTTTGGTGGACAGCATGACCTTTCTTAGACAGCATGAACTTGCAAAACGAGTCAGTGAAAGTGCAAAGTGCTCCCCAAAGTGGAACAGCGCCTAAATTTTAAAGGTGTTCACATAATAGGAAGCTTTTCAGGTATGTTTGGATAACGCCGGACGGAGAAGCCATTCGAAGACGCATCTCTCGCTTCGGAAATTAGTAAAGTGAGCGATATTGTTGAGACCGACATCATGGCTCCACATTATTTGGTGAATTGCCTAAACCTTTCAATCTTCACTAGTTTGTATATTTGCTTGCTTTTTCATTCTTCACAACACTATGTCATGCTTTGTACTTTGCACTATTGAAATGAAAAACAATGGAAAAAGTGTTGAATATTGAAAAGAAAACAGGTAAAGAGAAGCTGGAGATACGGTAGAATTGGAGCGCGCTTGTAACTGTAGAGCGTTACAGCGCGTTACGGCGCGTAATCGCGCGTTACAGAACTGTGCAGCAGGCTACGGCGCGTTACAGCGCAGCGAGTCTGAACGCTGCCTTGTATGCGAGGGATTGATAAACAAGTTCGATGATATTAAATAAAAATAATTAAGTTCAAACCAAAAGTTCTCTTTTTTGTTTCCTGCTTCGAAATAAATGTGAATAGGGAACGATTAGTAGGTTCATCAATATGTTTGTAAATGTATGACCTCGAACAGCTGAGGAATGGAATGTTCCTGGAGATAGTATTTAGCTTCACTTCCCATTTCTTTATCGTTGCTCAGGACCTGAAACTCCGCGGAAACATTGTTATTTCATTCAACAGAAAACTCGAAAAGTGGAATCAAGAGAGCCGCAACCAAGCATCACGCCGCGGAAAAAAGAGGATATCCATAGGACCCCTCACCACTTACCAGAAAGGTCGTTCAGGGCGTGCCCCGCTTTTTTCAAAATGGTTTTTTGCATTTTGTAGGGGCTTGAACATAGACCACAGAAGTGGGGTTCATTTTCGCTGAGCGGCCCCAGGAACGCCAAAAAAGGAGCGAAAAGTACGTCTATGTACCCCCATATGAGGGACGTTAAGCGCTATACTGGCGCCAAATTGCGTCGACGTCGAAAATAAGTGTCAAAATCGTAATCAGGACCATCGATTACCCTTATGGACGAACTTCCAGCCCAAAATTTTTTTCAATTCTTTCGCGTTGTGGACAGGGAGGCCAAAAAAAGACATTTCGACCGAGTCACATATCAGCAAAGTTTTCGCAGCCCAGACAGAGGACGTGGATACGAGTACCAGGGCGGAAGATACCCAAGATGTTCCTCGATAAGCAGGAGCTGGCTCTCGCCCATCACCTTCATGTACACCAAAATATGAAGTCATCTCCAGTCGCAGCCTGACTGGAGAAGACCTTTAAAATTCATGTCACCTCCA